GTGCAGGCGAGTCTCAGCACTTGGGGGACATCACAGTAGAAGTTATCCAGGACATTGGGGCCACAGAAGGGCAGTGGGAGCATCAGCAACAGCTGAACAATGGAATGGGCAAAGCCCCCTACCCAGGCAGCCACCACCAGCCCCACACACAGCCTGGTGTTCATGATGGAGATATAGTGGAGGGGCCGGGAGATGGCTATGTAGCGGTCATAGGCCATCACAGAGAGGAAGAAGACAGTCCCACCTCCCAGGAGGTGGAAGAAGAAGATCTGGGCCATGCAGCCCTGGTAGGAGATGGTCTTTGTTCTGTGAAAGAAGTCCATCAACATCTTGGGGGAGGTGACTGTGGAATAGCTGAGGTCTATGACGGCCAGATTTCGGAGCAGAAAATACATAGGCATGTCCAGCCGGGGATCAAAGGTCACAGTGACTATGATAAGGATGTTTCCCACCACAGTAGTGATGTAGACAAACAGGAACACCACAAATAGGAGTTTTTGGAGTTCTTGAGTCTGTGAGAACCCTAACAGAATAAATTCTGACACCCATGTGATGTTCTGGGGTTCCATGGGGCGCTTCCCACGTGCCTAGAGAGAGATGACACAAAGTAAAAACACTGTGAAAATTCAGTCAGTTTTTTGTTTGCTTGCTTTGGAGGATCAGGATTGATTGGTCAAAGTTGTTTCGAGATATGGCTTGACAGAGCTTTCTGGAAGGATAAAGACATTGCCAAGCTCCTGCGGGATTAGCTCCCTGGCCACATCTGGCACTGCATCATAGGCATAGATAGGTAGGATCCCTGCTCCCCTGGACCACAATGTCTTTGTGCGACAGTTTATTTCTAATTCTTTTTCATACCTCCAGCATCCAGCATATGGCCTTGTGAAAATCTAGCTTTCACAAATCTGTTTGAATCACTCGGTGAGTGGATAAACAAGCCGTTGCATGCCTGGGACCACAGGCCCACCCACCTATGTGCACAAATCCTAAGCGGATACAGAAGCTGAGGACTTTAGGTAAACAGACACTGCGTGGCAGGAATTGGGGGCGGGGATATACGGGCTTCATGGCAGAAGAAAGAGGTGTGTGCTATATGAAAGGGTGGTGCACACAGACAGGTGGAGGGAGAGGCAAGCAGATGATCCTGGATGGTGAGCTGGCATGATTCATGCTGCTTACATTTTTCTACTTCTGCGATTCTCTAATGGCATGCATGTTTTTGTTGTTGAGTAACGCAAGCTCAGGACAAACAGTAATTTCCCTGAAACTCTCATACTGTGTATTTAAAATTTATGCAAATATTCTAGAGACACATCATGGTAGGCAATCTTTGTGACGTTTTACAAATTTAAGGATGGGGGCTGAAGAGATGACTCAGCAGTTAAAAGCGCTTCCTGCTCATGCAAAGGACCCAAGTTTAGTCCCCAGACCCTGTGTTGAGAGGCTCCCAACTGCCTGTAGGGCCAGGGGATTTTATGTCCTTTTCTGGCCTCTGTAGGTACTGCGCTCACATGTACAAATCCACACACAGATATAATTACAAGTAAAATTTAAGTATGGTGAGTAGGGACTGGTAGAAAATATAAAACAGAGTTCTCCAAAAGATTATCCACATCGCTAGGCAGTAGTGGCACACACTTTTAATCCCAGCACTCGGGAGGCAGAGGCAGAGAGATCTCTGAGTTCAAGGCCAGCCTGGTCTACAGAGTGAGTTCCAGAACAGTCAGGGCTACACAGAGAAACCCTGTCCCTCCCCCCAAAAAAAATGAAATAATAATAATGAGGAGGAGGAGGAAGAGGAGGAGGAGAGCTGGTAGGATGGCTCAGTGGTCAACGGCTTGTGCTAAGTCTGATGAGTAAGATTGACCCCAGAAATTTGCGTGAAGTGAGAAGGAGAGAATGACTCCACAAAGTTGTCCTCTGACCATTTGTGCCTTGACAGGCATGCACCCCACACAGATACAACACACACACACACACACACACACACACACACACACACACACACGCCATACCAAGGAGAGAGGTAATAAGATAAAATGCCAAGAACTAAGAGGAAGGCCCTAGAGAACCGACTCAGCGGATAAGCTTCTGGTGTTTGGCAGCACAAGGACCAGAATTTGGAGCCCCAGGACCCAGAGTGACCGGGAAAGACACCTGATGTCAGCCTCTGGCCTCCACACACATGTGCATACCGAACACACATTTGTACTAAATATGAAAGACCTCAGAGGTACTTTAATTTTGATATTTATGTCTTCGTAGTATTTGGAATTTTTACTTTAAGTGAACTATGCATAAATCATGATGGGAAAAGGAGATCTGAAAATGAAGAAGTAAGACACGAAGGAATTACATCTCCCAGATAAGGTGATAGGCAGCTATTATGCAGTACTCCTAGATATACTATATAGGATTTACTTACAAAGTACCAGAGCCACAAGACTCACAGATGAACGTGCATACCATCACCCACTCCCAAGTACCAAGCGACACTCTCAGCAATTTACCTGCTAGTATAAATGAAACCCCATCTGTTCTTGAGAACCAGTTATGATGAACAGGGATGTGACAGACACCAAGTCCTGATGCCACCTGGATGCCACCAAAGGTCTAAAATATTGACAGATTCAATTTTTGTCTTTTAAAGTTTCAGCTTTTGTGTTTTAAAAAATATTCAGAGCTTCTTATTACTTATGGAAAAATACTTAAGATTTATCTATAATTCACCAACCACCTGAGAAATTATAATTAAAATATAAGAAGAGAAGTTCATTTATTGGATTATCACATTGGCAGGATGAGTTTTAAAACTTGGACTCCTCAACACTGTGAGGGTTTAGGGAAACAGAAATCATTGTGTCTAACCATTCTGAAGACAACTTGAAATATATACTACATTCTTTTTTATATTCACTCATACGCATTTGTTAGAACAATAAAATCTTATTCTTAAAATGTATATTTAAGTATATTCCACGCAGAATTCTTATACTATCAATAAAGCCAGAAGCAATTTAGCAAACAAGTCCAGCATATTACTGGACTTAAATAAAATGTGACGCCTCCCCGTGATGAAATTCTAGCTGTGATAAGTATGCATTCTAAAATGACATTTGATTATAGCAGATTTTTATTTTATTATATATTGATGTTATTTTAAAGAGATAATTACAAAACATTTTTAGCATTTAGAGTTGCTTTTGAGACAGGATCTCACTATGAAGCTCTGGCCTGAATGTAAATCAGGCTAGCCTCAAACTTGGGGTTATCTTCCTGCCCCCTAAGTGCTGGATTTGCTAGCAGCAGCCAACACACCTGCTGACATTTTGTTAAAATGTTAGAAAGGCAAATAAAAAGATGAAAATAAAAGATCAAATTGCTAACAGTGGAAGCTAGTGTTTATACCTGATTGAAGGAACTGACGGCATAGGTATATATTTTTCTCCTTTACAACTTTGCTCATTTTTCATCGTTTAGACATGGTCATGAGATTTCCACTTAGCAAAAGAAATATTACAGTAAGAAAACAAAGAGAGCAAAGAGAAGAACTGAAGTCTTCTTGGTGTAGTTCAACACCATCCCTGTCTGCTGAGCCCTATCCTGGGTAAAGATGGCCTGAGCACAGGGACACCTCAGAACACCAACAGGAAAGGAGGAGAAAGAGGAGAGGAGGGGAGAGGGGAGGAGGAGAGGGGGGAAGAGAAGGGTGTGTATAAGAGAGCCACCCCCTCCCCAAGCTCTGTGAAAAGAACACGGAGAACAGCAAGTCCCCATTGCACACCCCATCCCCACTCCTTGTGACAGGTCACCTTGATGACTGCAGCCAGCCAGCACCTGTCCTTTCTCCTAGCAGCCCAGCTCCATGAGACCCTACCTGTCCTGTTGTCTGTGATCTCACTCCTTCACTTCAAACCCACGTTCATCTCTGGCTCTCCGGTCTCCTAGCCCCTCATCCAGCCAGGCTTCCTCCCCAGACTCTGCACATATTGTCATCAAAACAGAGGAACCGTTCCTTTGAAATCACTGGCCAGTTACTCCTTTACCTGACTCATTGTTCTGGGCTCCTGGGAGGGTTCCTGCCTCCAAACAGTGCTCCGTATTAATCAACATTCTGATGCATAGTATGTCATTAATCAACACTCTGATGCACAGTATGACATCATTATGTCAGCTTCTCAAGAGACACCTTCCCCCCATCTAATCCAAAATGTTTTCAAAAGAATTCCAAGGCTTTCAAAATTTCAAAAGAATTCTAGTTATTGTCTACAAGGAAGAACTGACATTTAGGTAGAGTTCCAGGAGTGTCCTCATATCTACCCTAGAGAGGGATCCATCTTTCTAGAATAATCTGCCATTTAAGTAGGAATCACAATCATTTATTGTCATGGCAATACTCGCCAGTATCTATTTACTGAGTGTTTCCTGTGTGCTAAGCACTGTGCTAACTACCAGACACACCCTCTTATGTAATGCTTATAATGTATAGGAAATACAATGAATTATCTCTATGCAGGAGTACGCTGAGGCTTACAGCAGGCAAAAATCCACCCAGATCACACTGAGAATGACCAGCAGAGCCAGGTCTGGTTGGCCCCAGAATCTGCGCTCAGAACTACCATTCTCTTCTTCCTGGCTTTCCTCTAAAAAGCCTCAGTGTCAGCCAAACTGAGCCCTTCCAAGGCCCCTCAGGTGACAGTGCCCCATGTGGATGCCTTGCTCAGTCATCGGAATCCCACCCTTCTCTGAAGGTGCAGGGGTCACAAGGTCTTCTAGAACATTGTCCTGTGGCGGTATTTTTCCATAAGGATGTGTCTGCCACCTCACGTGTTCTCATCTCAGCATGAGGTCAATATGCCAGCGACTACATGGTGCCCAGTGCCCACACCCTCTCACATAAATGGCTCCCAAGAGAACACTTGTTCTGTGGTGACTGGAGCATTGAAATGGGCCGAACCCCTGGCAGCTGAAAGATGAGGGAATAGCTCCGGATGAAGACACCTGGAAAGGAACGCAAGGGTCTAACTCCTAACATGGAGGTCTTTGGGAAAGCGCAAGCTTTGCCTTTGAAAGGCCATCATTCCTCCCACAAACCCCTAAGAACCTTTGCAAACGTTTCTTCCACCTCTCGGAGCCAGAGAGTGGGCTTGGAGGGACTGTAGGAGGGAGAGGCCTGGATACGGGTGGAGAAAGCAAAGGATTCCCAAGCGCTTTCTGTTGTTACTCGGTTGTGTATCTGGTCAGTCATTGCTCTTAGGAAATCAGTCTACATGACTCTAAGAGAGAGGAGACGTGAGCTCCCCACACGGGAGTGAACCACTATAACCTCAGTGTGAGGAGCAACAGGCTCTGGCAAACCCTGACTTAAGAGCGGGAATGATAATGCTGCAGAGTGGCCATAGAGGAGAAACGAAAATCTGGGCTGAGTAGGAGAGTGGAGAGGCAGGAGGAGGAAGGGGGGAGCAGAGGAGATTAAAAAGGGAATATTAGAGAGTGGGAAGTGAGAGAGAGAGGCCTGGTTGTCTTTTCTCTGGGTGTGGGAAGAAGCTGCAGTATGGATGTGGGCGTG